TGGGCTCCCTTCTGGCGCCTCTGGCCTCAGGCCCCCCTCCTCTCCTAGAAACACTGAGCCTGCCCTTCTTCCAGCTGCAAATTCTCTGTCAAGTTGGCCCAGCTGCTATTTCATGCCCAGGCCCAGGCTGCCATTCCTGGATCCCAGCTAGCCCAATTTACCATCTCTGCTGACCTTGAGCCCTGCCTGGGTAGGGGGAAGGGCAGGGGCCTGGCACCAGCCCCGCTGGGTCCCTGCCAATGCCCAGCTTTGAAACTGGAGCTTTCATACACGGAAGAAGAAAAGGCTGTTTACAGGGCTCACTGACGTGCAGCAGGTGCTTGGTCGGGTGGCCCAAGCACTTGGCCCACGCACTTGCAGTCGGTCAGTCTGGCCTTGAGTGATTACAGTGGCTGGAGGGGACCCTCCCCAGGGACAGCCCTGCTTTCAAGTCTTGCAGGGCTGACTGGTTCTGAATAACATTGCTCAAACTAACAGTAAAACTATAGGAATACTCAGACTTTCCCAGGCCCACTCAGTTAAAAGTCAGAATATAGGCAAAAGGTCTTGGAAGAGGTGACATCAGGAAGGTCGTGGGGTGTCTGTGCCAGTGGAGGGGATAGCGGGCAGCTGCATACCCTTTCACAGGAAAGCCTGTGCAAATGGTGAAACTTCTGGCAGAGGTACAATTAGAAAAATTCTAGCTGATTGGGGAGAGGACAGGCAGGATAGAGAGATGCTGGGCTGTTCCCTCACAGTTTCTTCCCAGCAGAGCCAGGAACTGGCTGCTTGGTTGCCCACCCACCCACCACACTTACAATGACTGGGAGCCTCTGCCTGCACATGACCTCCCAGACAGCACCCCTCCCCAGGGCCTCCTAAAGACCTGATTGCTGGAGGAGTGGGTGAAGCCCCAGAGGGTGGCCAGGGCCACCAAAGTCACAGAGCTGACAGAAGGTGTTGGCTTTCCTCATACATCTATTGTCAGGGACCATTAAGCCCTTGCAGGAACTGTGTGCCTGGCTGATGCTGGGAGTGGGGTTAGGGCTAAAGGGAGGAGGGGAAGCTAGAACACACACCTGGTTCCCTCCCAGGCCAAGTACTGTTCTGGAGCCTTCTTTGGAAGCTCCAGGCCCTGGGAACTGAGAGGTGAGATAGTCCCTTGGGAAGGAGGAAGTGACATCAGTCCATCCTATTCCACAGGGGACATGGTACAGGACTGGGGATGTCAGCACTCCACTGATGAGTCAGATGAAGAAGTTCAGCACCAAGGAGTCTCCCCAGGCTAAGAAGAGGTGCCCAGAGAAAATGCTCTTATGGATGAAGTGGCCCAGCATTGCCTGCAGAGGGCACCTGTAGGCAGCAGCCCAGTGTCCTCACCAACCATGTGGTATAGGATACATAAAACCAAATGAGCTGGACCTGAGGGGGCACCCCTTTAATCTCAGCACTCCAGAGGCAGGTGGATCTCAGTGAGGTTGAGGCCAGCCTGGTCTAAAGAGCAAGTTCCAGGCTAGCTGAGGTTACAGAGAGACCCTGTCTCAAACAAACCCACAAACAAACCCACACAGAAAGCCCAGGGAAGGTGAAGTGTCACCGTGAAATGCAGAAGTCTGACTTGTGCCCTGGCCTTTTCTGTTTTGTTATTTATTTATTTTTTGGAGATAGGGTCTCATGTAGCCTAGACTGGCCTCAAACTCACTCTTTAGCCAAGGATGACCTTGAACCCCTGATCCCGCTGCCTCATCTCTCAAGTGCTGGGATTACAGAAGTGTACCACCATGCTCGGCTGAAGCCTTTTCAAAAAGGAAGTTTATTCTTTGACAACTTCATACATGTATGTATTGAATTTTGCTCATTTCACCCTCCATTACCCTCCCTCATTCCTCTCCCTCCCCTGATGAGACCTTTTTCACCCCATCTCTCCCCTACTTGCCCCATCTCTCCCCTTCTTTGATCTGTGTGTCTGTGTGTGTGTGTGTGTGTGTGTGTGTGTGTGTGTGTGTGTGGTGTGTATGAGACCCAGTGAGTTTAATTAAGGTTGCTTTCATGAGCACGAGTGAGGATTGGTAACTGGAACATGAGGCACTCACCAGTGACTACCTCACTCAAGAAAATGACACTCTGTCCTCCAGACACCATTAACTGCCCATTGTCCCTCAGTGAGGGATGGGGCCCATTTGTTTTAAACATTTGTTTACTATATAATTTGCATGTGTGTGTCTGTGCACAGGCATGCCTGTTTGCATATGCACATACCATGGTATGCACATGGAGGTCAGAGGATAACTTGTAGGAATCAGTTCAGTCAGTTCTCTCCTTCCACCATGTGGGTCCCAGGGATGAAATTCAGATGGTCAGTCTTGGTGGCAAGTGCCTTTCCCCAAAAAGCCATCACACACACACACACATACACCCACCCACCCACCCACACACCCATACACACACTTTTAAAAATATTTTATTATTTTTTATTTTGTGTGTATGAGTGTATTGCCTACATGTGTGTTAAGTACCCGTGTTGTGTAATGTCTATGGAGGTCAGAAGAGGGCATTGGATCCCCTGGAACTGGAGTTAAGGATGGTGGTTAACCACCATGTGAGTGCTGGGAATCGAACCCAGGTCCTCTGCAAGGGCAGTCAGTGCTCTTAATCACTGAGCCATCTCTCTACAGGACCCCCCCCCCCATTTTTGAGACAGGTTCTCATGATGTAGCCCCAGCTGGCCTGTAACTCACTATGTAGCCTGGCCTTGATCTCACAGAGATCTGCCTGCCTCTGCCTCCTGAGTGTTGGGACTAAAGGCATGTGCCACTGACCTGGCTCCCCACCCTTCTCTTTAATAGTGACATTTATGAGGGATTAGCCTTTGTTTACTTTATAGTTAGTTACACTGAGGAAATGATATCAAACATCTCTTGGAGTCTGATAATGGCAATATCATCTTTGGGGGGGGGGCTGTCTTTTGAGACAGGGTCTCCCTGTAGCCCCAGCTGGCCTGGAACTCACTATGTAGACCAGGCTGGTCTTGAACTTACAGAGATCTGCCTACCTCTGCTTCCTGAGTTCTGGGATTAAAGGCGTGCGCCACTACACCTGGCTCTGGCAATGTCATTTTATAGATATCTACACATGTATAAACATACATGTAAATAAAACAATATTACTATAATAAGTGTGTATGTGTATACATTTATACATGTGGTTTGTAGCTTATTTGAGTCCTTTCAGCTTTTAGATAGACATAGAAATATTCTTGGGTAAAATCATCTGATATCTGGGGTTCTCTTCACCATGACAAGAAGAGACAGTGGCAGGGTTGCACATAGACCAGGACTGGCTGGAAGCTGGCATTCAGGTACAGGCTGTAGGTTCAGGAGGATGTGCTGTTTGTTTTGTCTGCTGTGTATATTATAAATTCTTCATACTAAAAAGTACAAATGGACTGGAGAGATGGCTCAGCAGTTAAGAGCCTTGGTTGCCCTTGCAGACATTCAGTTCCCAGCACCCACGTGGTGGCTCACAACCATCAGTAACTCCTGTTCCAGGTGATCTATAGCCCTCTTCTGGCCTCTGCAGGTATTGCACACATGTGGTGCACTTACACACACATGTATGCAAACACTCATACACATAAAATAAAATAAATAAATAAAAATTTGTTTAAAAAGGAAACCAAACCCGAGCAGGATTAGGGATTTAGGGCTAAGCACCAGGCAGGCCTCTGGTGGAAAATACGGGTTCAGTGAACCTCAGAAGTCAGGGCTGCTGGATGGGAGGCCTCAGGCCCGAAGCTGCTGCCACTCAAGGCTGTGCCAGGTGCTTTGGGTCCCAGGACAAAGACCAGCCTCAGTGAAGGGTCTTGGCTCAGGACCCAGTGGGAGAACACTCATTGAATAGCCTTTGAACTTGAATGAATAGAGTGCCCATGTGTTCTGAAAGTGCTGGGTGACACAGGGCTCAGGAGGCATCCTGCCTGATGGGTTGCTATGAGCAGGGGACCCTGAAGATGGAGCAGTATATAGGCGGTCCTCCAGGCTTCCCAGATTTTGCTAGAGTTGTACGACATCCACCCAAGTTTGGGGAGTCACAATTCTCCCATGTTCTTCCTGGGTGACCTCAGGCAAGCTCCTTTACTTCTTTGAGTAAATAAGAAACTGGTTAGCCCAAAAACATGTTGCTATTATTATTTCAGCTGCCCTGAAAGGAAGCTACTCTCCCCTGGGGCACCAGAGCAATGTCAACACTTCTAAGAGGAGTGCACCGGAAGAGGTTGCAAGGGCATGGGCCCTACCCTGCAGCCCCACATAGCCTATGATCTGTTGCATTTTATTTTATTTTTTTACATTTATTTATTTATTTTGAGGGGAGGGGGTATGCTTTCACAGCATGTATGTGGAGAGTCAGCTCTCTCTTTCCATCATGTAGGACTCTCAGCCCCTTTACCCACTGAACCATCTCAAAGGCCTCCTCTTTTTTTTTTTTTTTTGAGACAGAGTCTCATATAGTGCAGGCTTGTCTCAAACTTACTATGTAGCCAAGGATGACCTTGAACTTCTGATCCTCCTGCTTCCACCTTCCAAGTGCTGAGATCACAGGCATGTGCCTCTACACACAGTTTATGCAGTGCTGGGGATGGAACCCAGGGTTCATGCATGCTAGGCAAGCACTCTACCAACTAGCTGCATCCCCAACCTTGTGACCTGTTTTTAATATGAACGGGGCAGATGCAGATAAGATGCTGAGGAAGGGAAGAAATAAAAACCCCTAGGTTCTTTGGGAGAGAGAGTAAGTCAGGCTGAGGGGTCAGGATCTAGAAACATACTGTGGATCTTGTTGCTCCTGCTTTTGGTTTTTTGAACAAAGTAGGGCTGGGGATGGGGTAGATGTCTCCAGGAGGTAAAGGTCAAAAGTCAGGAGGGCAGAGCTGACTCTGCAGGCACCTCCCACATGAGAAGAAACCAGCCTCTCCTCCAGGCCTCTTGGACCACTTCCTCTTTTTTTTGTTCTGAAGACAGGAGCAGCCCTACTGAGCCCTGGGGAGAGATGGGTGCAGGATCCAGGCTGCCCTAGCCCTGTCTTGCTAGGGCCAGGGCAAGTGAGTGTGCTGACTGGTGGACTTCCTGCTCCTGGAGTAGCTGAGGACTACCCTACAAGTTTGCAGGATGGAGCAGGCCAATGTGGAGCAGCAGGCCTCCGTGTGCAACCTGGTGGCTGTGTTCTCAAACAGCAGGTACGGGCAGTGTGGGGGAGGGTCCAGCTCCTCTACCTGCCCAGTGCCCTCATGCAGTAAAGGGCTCTGGGTACCAGTGCTCACTTTGGGTCCTGCCCTGGGTACTTTCTCCAGTTTGGGCAGCACCCAGGTCCCTCCATCATGAGTGACTGGCAGCACAGAAGACTGGTGGCATTAGGATCAGGAAGGGCATGCATCAGAGGTGGTGTTGGTCTGACGTAGTGGCAAAGGCCTGAAATCCCAGAACTCAGGAGGTGGAGGCAGGAGGATCAGGAATTCAAGGTTCATGGCCAACTTGGGCTACCTGAGACCTTGTCCTACCACCAGCACCCCAGAAAAAAACAAAAAGGCAGTGTTGGGCCGAGGACTCTCCCCACAGCATCAACGGAGCATAGGCTAATACTTCTCCAGCATCTGTCACTCAAATCAAGACGCAATTTAGTAGATGCCATTAAAATGGGGGTGAGGGGACAAGACACAGATGATGATGGGGCTGAATGAGTAAAGCAGGACCATGTGCACCTAGGATGGCCACAGTTCTAAGTTCCCTTCCATGTCTTATATCACCACCCTGATGGCCCTAGGGTGTACTTTTCTTCTATTCCATCTTTAGAGGAGGAAAAGGAGGAGGCAAGAGACCATGTTCATTAAGTTCCTGAGCTTTTCAGGTAGCGCCATGTGTCTAAAAGGCAAAGGGAGAGCCTGGTTTAGGAGGGAGAGGTTTCAGGTGGCCCTGGTGGGTGAGTGTGCGACATGAGTCTACTCAGCAGGCCTATGATTTGGGACTGTCTTGGGTTCTGCCTTCTGGAAGTACACTCCGAGATAGAGGTTGGCTTCACAAGGCTTAGGGGGAAGCTTCTTGAAGCAGCACTTGTAGTATTAGGGACACGGGGTTGGATGAAGGGAGAGGCTGAGCCTTGGATCATGCTGGGGAGCTCAGAGCTGGGGTGCCCCGAAATGGGCCTAGCTGAGGTGGAAGGATTGGTACTTGCACCTCTGGGTACCAGACACTGGGTGAGGCAATTCTGTTCCCTAGAGAGCAGGTCCCAGAGAAGGACTCTGCCAATAAATAACCCACTAACCACTGGGACTCCCAGCCACAGGGAGCTGAGAGAGGTCCAGGGGGAAGGACTTCTGCCTTTGGATGCAAAGTTCTTCCAGAATGCAAGTCCATGGGTGTCAGATGTCCTGGGGAGGAGAAGTGGATGCTCTGGGGTGGGGGGCGGGAATCGAGTCAGGTGAGGCCCGTGGGGCTTCCACGTGGAGACACATGTCCATCCCAGGTCGGGTGGGGGCAGTTCCACTTCAGAACTGGCCAGCTTGATGCTGCCTCTCCTGGGGGCTGAACTCATCTGGTTCAGCACCAAGGACAGCTTTTTGGTCCCACCCTTCCTAGCCCACCACCCCACTTCACCCATAATACTAGAGGGTAAGTAGGCATGTGGGTGCGACCCCTCGGGGTACTGAGCTGTGCTGGGCTGTACCTGGCAGGTGGAGCTTCCCTAGACCGGAGTGGGTCACAGGAGGTGTGGTCAGGAGGGTGACAGCCAGTCTTCCCAACCAAGGGCACTATGCCAGCTTCTCTGAGGGGCCCTTAGCACTTTAGCTGATTTAAACAGTGCTGGGGAGGAAACAGCCACTGTCCTAAGCTCTTAGAAATGCAGAAGCTAAAACCAAATGTGGAACAGAAATCCTGAGACTCAGCACCCCCACACCTCCCTGGGCTGCAGGCCCTCAGGCAGAGCAAGCTACTTTCTATGCCAGGAATGGGCCCTAATGAGCCCTTCGCCTCCATGACGAGACCAGAAGAGGCAGCTTAGCATGGATGCTCAGGCTCCATCCCGCCCGATTTGAGCTCCATCTATAGCACTTCCAAGCTTCAAGTTTCTCGTCCTTTCTGCCTCAGTTTCCGCAGCAGCAACATAGCTGCAATGATTATCTCCCTCACCAGATTTTGGAGGCACCAGATTTTGCACCTGTCTGGCTTCCAATTCCCAGCCTGCCTTTCTCATGAGGATGCCCGAATTTATTCAGAGTAGGTGGCCTCTGCCAGCTGTAGATTTAACTGGTCTGCAGGCCTGGTATGCAGCATAGTGAAGCTCTCCTTCAAAGGCCCAACATGGGGGACAGTGAACTTGTTGCCGGGCTGACTTGTGCTCTGATGATGGTGTGGAGGGCATCTGGCCTACTGAAAAGCCCCAGATCTTGCAATTCTGTCCTCCCTCTGTATTATTTCATGGCGCCCACCTTTCCTTAATGTACTCCTTCAGTAGGAGTACAGAAATGAAAACATGGGTGATCCAGACGGAGCCCCTGGAAACTTCTGTGTACAGAAGGAGGAGTTCTCTAGCTGTGGCTGCCTTTGAAACAGGGAAGTACATAGTTCCCCAGAGAATAAAACACAGTCCACAATGACTCATTTTGAAGACTGTTGGAGTTCCTTCCCTGAAGCTGTTGGATGTGGCTTAGTTGGTACAGTGTTTGCCCAGCATGCACGAAGTCCTCTTGGTTCCATCCCCAGTATCGGTTCACATCCCCAGGTGTGGTGGTGCATGCCTGTGCCCAGCCCTAGAGAAGTGGAGACAGGAGGATCAGAAGTGCAAGGTCGTCTTCCACTATCTAGGGAGTCAAGGCCAGCTGGCCTGGGACACAAGAGACCCTATCTCAAAATAACAGCATCAACAAAAGGAGGGTTAAAGAGAGAAGGGGGACTTTTAGCAAGTTCCTACACAGTACCAGGCACTCAGGGGCCACCGAATACCCTCATGTGTGATCTGTTCTCAGCAGGACCCTGAGAGCAGGTTCCAGAGCCCATGAGCTGGAGGATGGGCAAGCTATTCCTGAGCACCAGCAACCCCTGACCCCAGAGTCCTGGGAAGCACCCCATGTTGGGGAGACCGTGGGGTCTGGGCCCCGGACAGTCAGCAGGACATATCTGACCTCTCTGAAGAATAAATTGTCCAGTGGGGCCTGGAGGAAATCCTGGCAGCCTGGGGCCAGCCAGGGGCCAGAGATGCAGGTGAGGAGCTGATCTCTCTGGGGACTGCCTGCTCTGGCTGGGGGATGGATAGAAACCTCCTCAATCTTTGATTATCCGTCTGTCCTCACCTGCTTCTGTATTTCCCAAATCCTTCACTGTGGGAGTCTTTTTTATTATTACAAAATGAAATCACTTTGTTGCAATGAATTCACAAGCAAAAACATCAGGCAGCTGGATGAAGGTAGTCACTCAGACAAGCACATGCCCAGTCCCAAACTCAGTGCACGTCTATACAGTTAGAGTGGCTCAGAGGCCACTGAGCCTCGCTCAGCTATGCTTTCCCTATCAACTACATGTTTATGAATTTATCCACCACACAAAGAAAAAACGATGATGCTTGAAACTAGAAAAACAATTCGCTGTCTAGGCTGTTTCTATCTCCTTGCTCTCATAAATTCAGCATCAGTAAACATGGATGTGTAATTCTGTCTACGGGAGGGTTTGGATTTCTCTGGGTCTATGCCCAGAAGTGGAAACAGTGGGTCATAGGGTAATTCAATTTTTTAATTTTTTTGAGGAACCTCTGAGCTGATTTGCATAGTGGTTGTATGAACTGGTACTCTTACCAGCAGTGAATAAGAGCTCCTCTTTCCCACACTGGGGGAGTTTTGGGGATTGACTCAAAGCCACATAGCTGGTGCCCTTCCCAGTCGTGGCTCAGTTTCCTCATTAGAGGAGGTACTGAGTCCACACTAGAAAGAGAGGTCTGAGTGCTGACATCTCTACTCTGAGGCTGAGTGGGTCTCCCTTCCCAACCCCGTGGTGCATGGAGCCCACTGGTCATCTTACCAGCTGTCATGGGGCTGTCATTTACCCTCTCTGTGTCTGACTCTGAGTAGCCAGAGCAATGAGTTCTGGTTATCAGTTATCACTCCCAAACCCAGTGGCCAATATAACAGGATATTGGGATGACCAGGCTGCCTCAGGGCAGCTTTTCCACTGGCCTGGATTGAGGTCTGCACTAGTGAGCTCGGTCACCATAACAGAACATTGCAGGCTGGACAACTGACATGGCAGAAATTTCTAAGTCTCAAGGTTGCAGTCCTAGGTCAAGAGCCAGCAGCTTGGTTTCTGGGGAGGCCTCTCTTCCTGGCTTATAGATAGGGCCACCTTCACACAGTCCTCAGGTGGGCTCTCTCTCCTCCCTCCTCTTCCCTCCTCTACCCCCTTCCTCCCCTCCCCTCCCCTCCCTTCCTCCCTCCCTCCTTCTCCTCCTTCATCCCCAAGACAGGATCTTACTATGTAGCCCCGGATGGCCTCAAACTACCTCCCTAGTGCTGAGGTCCCACATTTGCTCCACCAGACCCAATGCTTCCTTTTCTCATAAGGTCACTAACCCCTATTGGTTTAGGGCCCACCCTTATGACCTCATTTACAGTGATTCCCCTGGGAAGCTGGGTGCCAGGCCCCCTGTCTTCCAGGGCTCTCTAAGCCCTGTGTCCCCTCTCTGTGGTGTTTCCTAGAGACCCCTCCATCAGGCAGCCAGGTCTCTTTCACAGCGTCTCCTTGGCTCCCCATTCCTGAGAGAACCCATGCGGAGGTTATCTGACCTCTTAAGGGCTCAGCCATGGGACCCGCACCTTGCTAAGTGGGCTCTTGTGGAAGCTGTCCTAGGGCCAACCCTCTTGTGCTAAGTGAGGGTGGGAATACCAGAGGGTTTGCTCACTGGGGAGCCTTAGGGCAGAGCCATTGTGTCCTCAGAGGGGTGCCAAGTCAAGCTGTCCTCCCTTTCCTCTCTTTTTCCCAACCCCTATAGGAACCAGAAGAGAAGCGGGTTGTGCGGGAGCTGCTGGAGACAGAGCAGGCCTATGTGGCTCGCCTGTACTTGCTGGACCAGGCCAGTGGGGCATCCCTAACCCTCCACATCTCATCAGGATTGATAGCAGCCCTGGGTTTAACTCTAGGAGTTCAGTCCATTTGACATCTGGGGTTTTGGTGGCAACAGGACTGAGCCCCTTATCACCACAGTCCTCCCCGGCCATCATTCCTGGGGATGTTGCAAGGATGTAGGCCCTGACTCCCATGAGGCTGTGCTGTTCCCCTGGGCAGGCTGGCTGGTGGGTGGTGGCTTCCTCTGGGGCAGCATGTGACCCTGCTGGTTCCTGGTGCAGGTGTTTTTCCAGGAGCTGCTAAGGGAGGCTGGCCGCAGCAAGGCCTTCCCCGAGGATGTGGTCAGACTCATCTTCTCCAACATCTCTTCCATCTACTGCTTCCATGCACAGTTCTTCCTCCCAGAGCTGCAGCGGCGCCTGGATGACTGGTGGGGTCCCAGGTCTCCACAGCCCCTGGGTTGCAGGCCCAGGCTAAGGAGTCAGGCCTGTGAGGCCCATGCACTTAAGCTTGATTCTGACCAGGGCTGGCTCCTGCTGGGTTGTGGCCCTTGCAGATGAGAGAGGGAGGAAGAGTGAGAGAGAGCGAGAGCAAGAGAACAAGAGAGAGAGAGAGAGAAAGAGAGAGAGAGAGAGATGGATGTCTTAAACCTTAGAGTACAGAAAGTCATATGGAAAGCACTTATTTTGGTCTCATAGCCTTTGTAGGAAAGAAAGTGTGTGAGAGAGAGAGAGAGAGAGAGAGAGAGAGAGAGAGAGAGAGAGACCCAGTCCTTGCCAGGCCAAGTGACCTGAGGCCATAGAAATCCTCAGCACTGACTGGGCCCCTGGTTTTGATCCTGACATCTGTCAATACACTTGTCTGCCAACCAACTGCATGACACATGTGTTTTACAAGAAACACAAACCCTCTTTGTGGGTCTCTCCCTCCCCTCATGGGCTGTTGGCTACCCATCCATGAGGACAAAGGGAGCAGAAGCGATGAATGGGGTCAGGACGGCCAGTGAGCACGGACAGAAAAGACTTCCCAGGGAGTCAGATTCAGTGATACAGCTCCGTTTATTCAGTGGGGGTCAGGGAAAATATAGTGTGGAGGCAGCAGCCAAAGCCTCAGCTGATAGGTGCTCATAGTATCTTTATTTACATGTGGTAGGGGGATCCTATCATCGGGCTATAGGGCAATGCCTAATTATCATATAGAAAAAACCTGGGGGCAGTTTTATTGCGGGTAACTATGCCAAAGGTCATGTTACAAATAAGGTCAGGCATCCATGCTTGGTGGCACTTTCCAGGTAAGTCAGGCAGAGAACAGGAGGCCCCCGCTGAGAAAGGAGTAGACTTTAACAGCAGGGTTCCCCAATACCTCTTCCTGGCTGAGGAGATGGCCCTTTAGTAAAGTGCCTGCCCCATGATCTCCTAATCCATGTAAAAAGTCAGTACATGTCTGTAACCTCAGAGTTGGAGAAGCAGAGACAGGAGAATCCCAGGGACTCGAGCCAGTAGTCAAATCAGTGAGCACCAGGTTCAGCAAGAGACCCTGTCTCAAAAATAAGGTAGATCAGAGCCAGATGTGGTGGCACACGCCTGTAGTCCCAGCACTTGGGAGGCAGAGGCAGGTG